CCATAGGCTGCCAAAAGAACCAACAGGTCTGTGTTGGAAGAAGTTCAGCCAGAGTACTCCTTGGAGGCCAGGATGGCCAAACTTTATCTCTAATACTTTGGACATATTGTCAGGAGGGAGCAGTCACTGGAGAAGGATATCATATTTGGTAAGGTAGAGGGTCAGAGAAAAAGAGGAAACTTCCAGTGAGATGGATTGTCAAAGTGGCAGCATCAATGGGTTCAAGCGTGGCAACGATAGTGAGGTTGGCCCAGGATCGGGCAGTGTTTCGTTCTGCTGTGCGTAAGGTTACTATAAGTCAGTACCAACTTGATTGCACCTAACAATAACAACAAAACTAAGAGAGCTCCCCTACTTCCCATGTCCCAAAATGCCATTACTATGGTTTATTTGGTATCCTGGTTTTCCATGTCCACCACTCATACGTCAGTTTGCTGTGGTAACTTGTGTGTTGCTGTGATGCTGCAAACTGTGCTGCCAGTGTTTTAAATATCAGCAGGGTACCAGGGTCGACAGGTTTCTGTTGTGTTTCCAGGCTAAGATAGACTAGGAAAGGAGAAATGGAGGAGGACTGAGTCTGAATGGCTAGCCATTGAAAAACTTATGAATATCAGTAGAACATTATCAGATGTAGTATAGGTAGATGAACCCCTCAGGTTGGAAGGCACTCAAAATACAGCTGGAGAAGAGCTGCCTCTTCAAAATAGAGTTGACTGTGATGGCGTGAATGGAGTAAAGCATTTGGGACCTTCATTTGCTGATGGGACACAACTCAAAATAATGAGGAGACACATGGGATGTACAAAGCATGAAACTAGGAAAACTGGAAGATGTAAAAAGTGAAGTGGAATGCATGATGATCGATATCTTAGGCATTAATGAGCTGAAATGAACTGGTATCAGCCCTTTTGAGTTTGACCATCATATAGGTTTACTATGCCACTAATGACTAGTCCAAGAGGAATGGGAACACATTCATTGTCAAGAAGAACATTTCAAGATCTATCTTGAATACAACACTGTCCAGATAGAATAGTATCCATACATCTACAAGGAAGACCAGCTAATATACTATTATTAAAATTTATGCACTAATCACAAAGTCAATGATGATGAAATTGAAGAATTCTACCAATTTCTTCAGTGTGAAATTGATCAAACATGCAATCGAGATGTATTGATAATTCTGGTGATTGGAATGCTAAGGCTGGAAACAAGAAAAAAGGGCCAGTAGTTGGAATATATGACCTTGGTGATAGAAATGATGTTAGAGATTGCATGATATAATTTTGTAAGACCAATGACTTACTAAATGCAAATATCTTTTTTAAAAAACATAAAGGCAATTATAAACATGGACTTCACCAGAGAGAATACAAAGGGATCAAATTGACTATCGGCAAGAGATAGTAGAAATACTCAGTATCACCAATCAAAAGAAGGCCAGGTGTTGACTGTGGAACAGATCATAACCTGCTCATATTGCTCAGGAAGAAGAGGAAGAAACTTAAAACAAAGTCCACGAGAGCCAAAATAGGACCTTGAATATATCCTCCTTATATTTAGAGATCATCTGAAGAACAGATTTGATGCATTAGACACTAAGATCAAAGACCAGTTGAACTGTGGGATGATATCAAGAACATCATACAGGAAGAAAGCAAAAGGTCATTAAAAAGTCAGGAAAGAAAGAAAAGACTAAAATGGATGTTAGAAGAGATTCTGAAACTTATTTTCCTGCATTGAGATGGTAAAACAAGTGGAAGAAATGAGGATGTAAAAGAGCTGAATAGAAGACTTCAAAGGGTAACTCAAGAAGATAAAGTATTATGATGAAATATTGAAAGGCCTGGAGTTAGAAAATCAAAAGGGGAAAACATGCTCAGCATTTCTCAAGTTGATAGACCTGAAGGAAAAAATGAAGCCTTGACTTGAAATATTGAAGAATTCTTCTATGGGAAAAATATTGAACGATGCAGGCAGAATTAAAAGACGATGGAAGGAATACACAGAGTCACGGTATCAAAAAGAAATGGTTGATGCTCAACCATTTTAAGAGGTAGCATATGAAATCTTTCAAAACACTGATGCAACACTAGAAATTGGAAGACATCTATCTACCTGACCAACCGACTCAAAGAGACCCATATCTGTGCCCATTCCAAAGAGAGGTGACCCAAAAGAATGCGGAAATCATTAATATCCCATGGAAGTAAAGTTTTGCTGAAGATAATCTAAAAATGGTTGCAACACTACGTTGACAGGGAACTGTCAGAAATTCAAGCCAGATTCAGAAGAGGACGTGGAATGAGGAGTCATTACTGATGTCAGATGGATCTTGGCTGAAAGCAGAGAATACAGGAAAGATGTTTACCTTTATTGACTATGCAAATGCTTTCGGCTGTGTGGATCATGACAAGTTATGGATAATATCGCAAGGAATAGGTATTCCAGAACACTTAAATATGATCATGAGGAACCTATACTAAGACCAAGAGCAGTTGTTCAAATAGAAGAAAGGAACACTGAATGGTTTAAAATTAGAAAAGGTATGTGCCAGGGTTGTATTCGTTCACCATATTTATTCAAACTGTATGTGGAGCAAATAATAAAAAAAAACCGGATTATATGAAGAACGTGGCATCAGGATTGGAGGGAGACTTGTTTATTATATACAATATGCAGATGACACAACCTTGCTTGTTGGAAATGAAGAGAACTTAAAATACCTACTGATAAAAATCAAAGACAATAGTCTTCCTTCAGTATGGACTGCACCACAATGTAAAAACAAAAATACTCATCAGTGAACCAATAAATAAGACCATGCCAAATGGAGACAATACTGAAGTTGTCAAAGACTTCATAT